TCCCCACACTTTTTCCCTGCTGAAATAATTTTTTATTTACGTTTAATTACCCCAAAACTGCAATACTCACCGTCAATAGAAACGCAACACCCTAATTTTAGGGTGAAAATTATATACAGATTATAACTATGTACCAAAAAAGTTAGGACATCTTTTACTTTGCCAAATCAGTTATTTAACGGTTGAATGAATTTCTTTCCATTACCGGAAGTTGCTTTTTGGCCCTCTTAAAAGAATTCAAAATTTTCCATTTTTAATAAAATTTTAACAATATTTTGGGTTTCCAAGGTTTTGAAAATGTTAGTCATTATTATTGTACTAAAAGGCCGGGAAAAAATCCTTCTTTCTTTACCGGATGTGATGCCTATATTTCCTCAAAATGACTGATAGCAAGAAGGGGGGATGTTTTAAGAGTTATGTGTTACCTTCTAAAGTTTAATAATAACATTAAAAATGAATATATTTAGGTAAAAAGTAAATTTACAAAAAATTAATGCTCCATTTAAACATTAAATGTTATTTTTAGACCTTAGAAAGAAACAAATCCCGTTAAATCTTAAAACATCCCCCCTTCCAACCATTTAATGAAAACGTACTAGTCCGCCATATACACAAATGCAGCCCGATTTTTACCATGCATTAAGTTTATTAATGTCTTAATCTGAGCGAAATCAATATTCTTGGGCATTTTTAAATACATGTTTTTCAGATATTGCTGTCGAATTTTCTCTAACCTGGCATAGTGTAGCAACTTTTTGACTTCCGGTCAAGAAACTGCCATTTATGCTATTGAAACACATGAGCCTGATGAGTCGTTATATAGTGTACATTTGCATCTGCAGCTCTTTTTTTTCTTTATTTGAGAATTTCCAGCATTAGCAATGAAAATCAGTCATTTTGAGGAAATATAGGCATCACATCCGGTAAAGAAAGAAGGATTTTTTTCCCGGCCTTTTAGAACAATACTTACGATTAACAGTTTCAAACCCTTGGAAACTCAAAATATTGTTAAAATTTTATATTTAAAAATGGAAAATTTTGAATTCTGTTGAGAGAGCTAGAAAGCAACTTCTGGTAATGGAAAGAAATTCATTCAACCGTTAAATAACTGATTTGGCAAAGTAAAAGATGTCCTAACTTTTTTGGTACATAGTTATAACCTGTATATAATTTTCACCCTAAAATTAGGGTGTTGCGTTTCTATTGACGGTGAGTATATTTTCAGTTCATCCCCGGGCGATGTGAATATTTTACTTCGAGGGTGGCTAAAACATCGTTTTAACCCTAAAAATACAAAAACAAAAAAAAATTATAGTATAATCATTATCTTACTCTAAGAATACCTAAACCAATGTAGTAGTTTAAGATACACGGCATCCTGCTAGCTCGGGCAAGTGGGTTAACCCCTTAGCTCAATTAATAGAGCACTGGATTGGCAGGCCAGAGATCCAGTGTTCAATCCCTAGCAGAGGCACAAAATTGTCTCTGTTACACCAACATGTCCTTCTTCCTAAACGCCCGTCTGTTTTTCTTAAAAACAAATAATTTTCAAGCTCATCATAAATGAAATTCAAAAAAAACTTGTACAAATGGTGTATCTATGGAGTCTTAAGCATGTTTGCATGCTGTATCCATTATAGTTTAAATTCAGGTGACCCCGCTTAAGTTCAGCTCTTAGGGCTTATCTCCAACGACATAAAAAGAATTTTTTTTAATTTTATGTGCATCTGTAAATGCTACATGAATAGTGTAGTGGTATACTATGAGACGCCGATTTGGTATTTACTGTCAGAAAGTGATATCACCTACATGTGTACTGTTCGAATAGCTCACAGCTTCCCTCTGCACCGATGAACTCAAGTGTGAGCATTAACTTCCAGCATTTTGAGATTTCTAAACAAAGAATACTTTATGATATCCTACAAGGAGGAAATGAGTCCTCAGGCCCCAAAAACCAATACATTTGAAGATTTACAAAGCAATAGAGCTGTCGGTCCTGGACCATGCATCGATTGTCTTATTCTTAAACCTAGCCTTGTAAATTCTAACATTCCCTTCTTTTACTCAAATACAAGTCACACAAACCAAAGTTTTAAGGACTTAGTAAGCCTGCGATTTATTTTTCAAGAAAACATAAAAAGTTAGGTCCGTCAAGACAATACCCTGACCTATTGATATGGCGTTCATTTGATTTATAAAGCGAGTTCCAGCTTAAAAAAGAGTGTCTCAATAGTTTCTAAGTAGTTTCCTTTCTTGAAAAAGGATACACGTTTCATATCATATTTTCTTACTTATAGCTTATAGTTGAAAAAATATACATTTATGAAAAAAGGTTTGTATCCTAAGATTAATGAGCAATCAACTAGAGTACAGAATTGGTATAAAAAGTCTTAAAAATGCGATTGAAATTTAAACGTTCAAATATTGATGATGACTATATTTTCGCGACACCTTATTTACGAGATAGCTACAAGTATGTTATTCATAAGCGAAAGAAATTTCCTTGATTATTTGCGATATAAAAAATTGCGAGAATAAAATATTCGCAGAGAGATTTGCATTATTTCGCAAAAAATATGATGTTTAAGTGCAAAGTTTTTTTTGTATTAGCTTAAAGGTCAAGTTAAGGTAATATGTGCTTATTAAGAATGTCAAAATTCATTCAACATGTGATATTTATAAAACGAAATCAGGCGCGTTTGCGTTAAAATTAAATAGATCAAATGTCATGTATTCATTTTTAATAGCGTTAAACTTGCAATCTTTGACTGAATTGTGACAGACACTTTCTTTTTATTATTTCTCATACGAAATATTGTGGACAGATCCACAGATCACTAGAGAAAACGACGGAATTCAAAGGTTTCGAGCAGAATTATATTAATTTCAGGACTCCTGATTTTGTTTGTTTTAATTATAAGAACACTTTTGAAACGAGTTAATATTAAAACTTGATTAAGTAAGAAGTAAAAAAGTACATTTATTATTATTTAGAAAATAATCTGCATGATATATTCACGCACTTCTGCTCTCCCAAAAGTTCAAGGAAGAAAAGCAAATGACGTCATGCAGCAAAATCTTGGACTCCTATCGTATTATGTACCTCTCTGCATCCGCTGTTTTAAAAGATGAATCTAAAAGACTTGGCTTTCATTCATATTTGGGCAATAAACCAGAGGTGACACTTTTTCATCTCTCCTTTTTCTTTCTTTTTATATCTTGTGCTTGTTTCCTATCGATCCAACGTCTGTATCACTTTGTTTTAGGGTTTGTATCTTTTTATCCTATAGATTCAACGTTTGTAGCTCTCTGTTTAACGGTTTGTAGCTTTTAGTGTCTGTATCCTAAATCACCGTTTGTATCCCTTTAGTTTTACGCCTTGCAATATTGTATCCTATAGTTAATCCGTTTATATCCTTTAGTTTTACCGTTGGTACCCTATACTTGCACCATTCGAATCCTATCATTTTACAATATGTACTTCATGGTTCGTATCCTTTTATTTTACCGTTTGGATACTGGAGCTTACTGTTTGTATTCTTTAATTTTTCTCCTTGTATCCTGTATCCTTTAGTTTTACCGTTTGTATCCTAAAGTCTTTATTTTGGCAGTTATTTCTCCAGATGATTCCTCTCTCAAGATCCAGCATTCGAACAGGATGGGGATTTGTGGTTTTAATTAAACAAAGAGTACCTAAATTCATTTTTAAATTTTAATCCAACCTTTTGATTTCTTTTTCTTCAATAAGAGCCAAATTTAACTTCTCTCATACCTCATTGGCAATTCCTCTTGACATTTTTTTGGTTCTCCTCAACTTTTTCGGACCAGTAGCTTTGGGTTTTACTGTTAGCTCTCATTTTTGTTCGTATTAGGCTCTAGCATATAGAGGAATCCCTTTGTGTTCATGTGAAGATCTGCAGTTGATACTGGTACACTCTCATCGTTTTATTTCAAACTTTCTTCTCATCTGCCTATGGTTGTGGGTAGTCCTCGGGTTAAAATGGCAACAGTCCACCAGGTCCCTCAATAACGCTGCCTTTACACGATAGCTCTCCTCCCCAAAGAAACTTGATGTTATTTTTCTTATGATAAAAGATAATTATAACCCTTCACTTATGAAATCATAATGATTGACCCGGTTTTGGAGGGGTGTCATAAGTAAAATAAAGTCAAGTGATTGTGTCTCCTCTGTGGTAAGTTTTGATATGTATGGATGAGTTGACTAAGAGATTTCTAAGTACTGCCCGATGCATAAAATTCTTTACATTACATAATTGGAATTCTTTGTTAGGATAATAAAACCCGCCAAAGATTTGTCAGACTTATAAGTGTGGAGTTGGCTATTCAGATGTTATGTTTGCTTCGATTCAAACCGCCATTTTTGTATCAATTTTTTTTAAATAAAAGAGTTCCAGTCGAGTCATTTGGAGCCTTTACATTAACGCACGTTTCTATTTATCATCTTCAAGATTCCCAAAGATGATGAGCAAAATGGCAACAAATAAAAAAAAAACCCAGGTATATTAGCTGTGAAAATCCTAGGAGAAATATGAAGTCAAAATGAGACAGATATTTTATTTAAATAAATGGTTACTAGTTAGAAGGATGTTCAAGCTGCAAAATTGATTGCGGGCGAAATACAGTTTGAAAGAGGTCAAAACAAACGAATTTGCTTTCCGTCATCGGATTGGTCCGTTATGGTATTAATCTACTCTCGATTTTTCACGGACCAATCGGAGGACGAGAAACGAATTCGTATGTTGATCCCATTTGACCTCCTCTCCATTATGGTCCATAAAATCGATCTACATTTAAAAATTAAAACTTCTTAGCGGGGAGAAGATGAACAAAATTACTACTTTAAGTTAGTTTTTTTTTTTAGAATACAGCTCAAAAAATTATGCTTGAAAAAAAAAGCTGAAAAATATCAATATCTAGAAATTCAAATATTTCCTTTTCCACAAAAGCTTCAATCAATAATACATTTGCTAACATTTTACCTCATCCGTCGCTCCGACGTCATTCATGATGCTTTTTTGCTTCATGTGATTCAGGTACGTCTGCGTAATAGGCACACTGAAGTCAATGATGGGTGGGTCCTCTATGGCCATTTCCGGTTTGTAAGTCGACTCACATGACGCGTTACTTTGAGTTTCTTCTGATGACGTCACATGCATTCTTTTCTGACAGTCCGAGCAGGACATGAGGAACCGTGTAACTGCTTCTCTTGGTAAAAATGCGTAGGTTTCTGCAATCTAGAAAATGTTATTTTTCTTACCTAAATGAAATGCTTTACCGTTATAAACCTACAAATCAGATGAAGTTTTTTTTTAAAGACAATTAAGAAGGTTAGTCTTGGTAGTCGGTAGCTGCAGAACTGTGGCTCTCTGCTTGAGAAAATTCGGACAAATAAAGCCGAGCTTGTTCTGTCCGTATTTTCTCAAGCAGAGTGCTACAGTTCTGCAGCTATCCATCCAAATGAGTCAATGAAGGGCTCATGTTATTTACTGAGTTGCCTCACCTTTAAGACACCTTTTTTAGCTCTTCATTTTTGTCTTTTCTTAGAATATATTTAAACTCGTTATATAGAAAGAATCGAATTCTCTGATTTCAGCAATTTAAAGTTTTTAGTAATTAAATCTTTAAAAAAAAGATTAATACATTTCTGTGTAAAATTTGAACTCGTTTGTGTACCAGCAACTTGAACCCAGATTTGAACAATTACTTTTAATTGCCCCTCTGTTTCTAAGGATTCTTCCCTATGTACCGTATTTCTATGTCGTGTTATGAAAAAGGAATTGACCCAGTTATGTGGGTGCGCTCTAAGCCCAGGGCCATGACTTTAAAAAATCATTTTCTTGACTTTGTAAAAAATCTTTTTATTTCTAAATGACCCTGTCCTATTATTCTCATTACTAATTACATGATCACGTATCTTTAAAATTATCAATATGATTCCACTTTAACCAAGAATCTTTTGTGCCAAAATTTTGTGCCAGAAAAAGTCGAAATATGAAAAGTTAATTGACAGACGAACAAACAGACAAAGAACAAACTGAGACCAAAAAAGTTTCTACCAAAGAGTAAACCAGTGAATGGCTTGTTACTGTCTGATAGAGATTTGCCTGACATATTTTTAAACGTTGTAATTCACGAATTAATTTTTCCAATACATTTCTTGGCTCGCTGAGAAAAGCGAGGTAAATAGATCTAGACAGTCTTCATTTTACTCGATTGCTTCTCTGAGACTCGCTTGTACACTACAAGTATTTGCATATCGTATCTTATTATTTAAGAGTGGGGGAATTACCTTCTTTTAAAAAAATTGTATTGTTCTTTGTTTGTTTGTTAATAAAAATTATTTATCCTATGGTCATTTTCTAATATAAATTGTATTATTCCATCGAACGAAGACGTGTAAGAGTTATCTTACTTACTCCGAAGGCGCGTTCAGCAGCCGAGCGCTGGCGAATCAAGAGAAGATCCTGTCCCCTGCAGATATCAGGTTTGATCAGTGAAAAAACACAATCTTTTTATTAACATTTTTTGGAAATAACTAAATTTGAACTTTTGATTTTTTCCATTCTTAAACAACGATGCATTTAATTGTTCGCTGTATACTAATGTACTAATGTGCCGTTGCAGCCCCTCTCGATGTGTTTCGGAGGGTAGGTGTGTATGTGTGCAAATCACCCTACTAAAAATACATTTTCTAACTTATCATACGAACAAAATCAGGAAGAACTCTAACAAGAGAGAAATTGAATTCTTTTAAACATAACTTCTTAAATGTTGATTAGATTAGATCCGATTTAACTCAAATATAATTTGCCCCTTGCTTCAGTGTTTTTATTTTTTTAAATTTCGACTGAACTTGAAATGAGCAAGTCAATAGATAGGTAAGTTGGCATTTGATTGATCTGTATCACGAAATATTAAGTACTACTGAGCTGTATATTTAGGACACATCTGTTCTTATGCCCTCACAATCAGAGCTTTTCCTCTTCACAGATATGACAATGACCCATTACGGGTTTTCCCCCCGAACGAAGTTTTCTTCCATTATTTCCATTTAAGAAGAAAACCAGCTTTTTTTTCTTTGTAAACACGGAATCAATTGTACAGAAGACAATGTGATTTTTCCTTTTTTCGGGCCATATTCGACAAAATGAAGTGAAGAACTTCGTTTGCTAATTACAAGAAAATAGGGTTTGTGTCGTTTGAAGCTTAGAAACTAGTTATCGCCGATTTATCGATTCTGGGGGAGCTGCATCTTTTAACATTTTTCTCGTCAAATAGCCATGGAGAAGTTGTGCGACTTCCGAGAGCAAAGAAGTTTTGACGGGTTTCAACTAATCTTCGGATCTGGGCATTGCGGATTATTTCGAATGCCATCACAAGCTGTGCGGGATTTAGCGATACTTGGTTCACTGTCAAACCACAGAGTAAGGAGCCACGATTTGGCATGTCACAGAATACGGAAAGCCGGAATTCTCGTTAACAAAAGTAAATTTTCTACCGGAGAGGACCAATAACTTCCACAAAATGCTGAAATTTAACCCAAAAACATCATAATTTGAGGTTGCAGCCTACACAATTCCTCAGGTGACTGCTATTCATCACACACTAAATATATATACGTATACAGATGTATGTACTTAAAAAAAAAGAAAAATATTGACTTTTGTTGCTTGTTTTTAACTACCAGGTATGAAACTTTAAAATTATAACCCTTTCATTCAGACAGAAATTTTATGCAAATCAAAATTTGTTTTGATTTTTTTTTTAACCAAAGGAAACAAATTCTAAAAATATACTAGTATTTGCTTCTGGAAATATTAAAAATAATGTTCAGACGTAGACATTGAAAACCATTTAATTCATGTCACGACTAGGAAATTTGCATTTTCTTTTGATTTACGTCACTTCTAGGAAATTTGCATATTCATTTGTTTAGTTCATTTCATCCTCTTACATGTACGTAAGTATAGACAAGCACAATACACAATAGTTTTGATCCTGTCTATTAATAATTCTAAAATCTAAAATAATGGCATCAATGTTTATAAGTACGGAAATATGTACATGTAAGTCTCTAACTTGTCAAAATGTTTTAAAAGATATTCCTTTTATACAGATAATGGTCAGTATAACTCATATTGGGATTTTTGCTTAGCTGTATAAGTTTTTATTCTTTTTTATGCCATAGATAGATATTTCTTTGCTTTGTGTTTTACTAATTGTTGTTGCATCATTTTCTCTCGTTTGTATAATTGTGATGATTTAGTGCCTTTATTTTGTAATCATTTTTATTTTCTATTTAAAATTGACTGGATAATGTACCATGTTGTACCATGTTGTAAATTTTGAATTTACTGGGTGGATGTAAAAACAACATTTCCCATGACATATTTGTCTCTACCCAATTGATTTAAGTTTTACACCTTGATAAAGGTGTCATTCAAAATAAAAATCAGAATGTCACAGTATGTATACTCGTATTCACTTCAATTAAACCTTCATATGCATGTTATTTGCGCGTTAAATTGTTGCTCTATATATTGGCGCATGTGTTTGATGTATCGCCTGTAGCTCTACATGTGTATTTATTTCTGCATTAAATTGCATGTGGTCCTTCTTTGTTTCTTAATCTGAATGGACTTATCCTTTTCGACTTAACCGCTCTGAAGGTATTACTCCGTATTGACTAAACCGCTCTGTAGGTATTACTCTGTATTGATTTACCACACTGTGGGTATTACTCTGTATTGACTTACCACTATGTAGGCATTACTCTGTATTGACTAAATGCTCTGTAGGTATTACTTTGTATTGACTTAACCACTCTGTAGGCATTACTCTGTTATGAGTTACCACTCTGTAGGTATTACTCTGTATTGACTACCGCTCTGTAGGTATTACTCTGTATTGACTACCACTCTGTAGGTATTACTCTGTATTGACTAACGCTCTGTACTCTGTATTGGTATTGCTCTGTATTGACTACCACTCTGTAGGTATTGCTCTGTATTGACTTACCACTCTGTAGGTATTACTCTGTATTGACTACCACTCTGTAGGTATTACTCTGTATTGACTACCACTCTGTAGGTATTACTCTGTATTGACTTACCACTCTGTAGGTATTACTCTGTATTGACTTACCACTCTGTAGGTATTACTCTGTATTGACTTACCACTCTGTAGGTATTACTCTGATTACTCTGTATTGACTTACCACTCTGTAGGTATTACTCTGTATTGACTACCACTCTGTAGGTATTACTCTGTATTGACTTACCACTCTGTAGGTATTACTCTGTATTGACTTACCACTCTGTAGGTATTACTCTGTATTGACTAACGCTCTGTAGGTATTACTCTGTATTGACTTACCACTCTGTAGGTATTACTCTGTATTGACTACCACTCTGTAGGTATTACTCTGTATTGACTAACGCTCTGTAGGTATTACTCTGTATTGACTTACCACTCTGTAGGTATTACTCTGTATTGACTAACGCTCTGTAGGTATTACTCTGTATTGACTTACCACTCTGTAGGTATTACTCTGTATTGACTAACGCTCTGTAGGTATTACTCTGTATTGACTTACCACTCTGTAGGTATTACTCTGTATTGACTACCACTCTGTAGGTATTACTCTGTATTGACTTACCACTCTGTAGGTATTACTCTGTATTGACTTACCACTCTGTAGGTATTGCTCTGTATTGACTACCACTCTGTAGGTATTGCTCTGTATTGACTACCACTCTGTAGGTATTACTCTGTATTGACTTACCACTCTGTAGGTATTACTCTGTATTGACTACCACTCTCTGTATTGACTACCACTCTGTAGGTATTACTCTGTATTGACTACCACTCTGTAGGTATTGCTCTGTATTGACTACCACTCTGTAGGTATTGCTCTATATTGACTTACCACTCTGTAGGTATTACTCTGTATTGACTACCACTCTGTAGGTATAACTCTGTATTGACTACCACTCTGTAGGTATTACTCTGTATTGACTACCACTCTGTAGGTATTGCTCTATATTGACTTACCACTCTGTAGGTAATACTCTGTATTGACTTACCACTCTGTAGATAATACTCTGTAATGACTACCACTCTGTAGGTATTACTCTGTATTGACTTACCACTCTGTAGGTATCACTCTGAATTGACAACCACCCTGTAGATATTACTCTGTATTGACTTACCACTCTGTAGGTATTACTCTGTATTGACTACCACTCTGTAGGTATTACTCTGTATTGACTTACCGCTCTGTAGGTATTACTCTGTATTGACTTACCGCTCTATAGGTATTGCTCTGTATTGACTTACCACTCTGTAGGTATTACTCTGTATTGACTACCACTCTGTAGGTATTACTCTGTATTGACTACCACTCTGTAGGTATTACTCTGTATTGACTACCACTCTGTAGGTATTACTCTGTATTGACTACCACTCTGTAGGTATTACTCTGTATTGACTTACCACTCTGTACGTATTACTCTGTATTGACTACCACTCTGTAGGTAATACTCTGTATTGAGTACCACTCTGTAGGTATTGCTCTGTATTGACTTACCACTCTGTAGGTAATACTCTGTATTGACTTACCACTCTGTAGATAATACTCTGTATTGACTACCACTCTGTAGGTATTACTCTGTATTGACTTACCACTCTGTAGGTAATACTCTGTATTGACTTACCACCCTGTAGATATTACTCTGTATTGACTACCACTCTGTAGATAATACTCTGTAATGACTACCACTCTGTAGGTATTACTCTGTATTGACTTACCACTCTGTAGGTATCACTCTGAATTGACAACCACCCTGTAGATATTAATTTGTATTGATTTCCGCTCTGTAGGTATCACTCTGAATTACTACCACTCTGGTAGTCAATACCACTTTGTAAGTATTACTCTGTATTGACTTACCACTCTGTAGGTATCACTCTGAATTGACAACCACCCTGTAGATATTACTCTGTATTGATTTCCGCTCTGTAGGTATTACTCTGTATTGACTACCACTCAGGTAGTCAATACCACTTTGTAAGTATTACTCTGTATTGACTTAACACTCTGTAGGTATTACTCTGTATTGACTTACCACTCTGTAGGTATTACTCTGATTACTCTGTATTGACTTATCACTATGTAGACATTATTTTATATTGACTTACCGCTCTGTAGGTCCGTTTTTGACCAGCGTGTTTGCCACCTCTGCCATCCATGTCCACGTGAACATTATAGATGATGTTGAAGAAATCTTCCACCTTGGCGACTTTCTTGAAGTTCTTTTCTGTGTCGTTGCAATTAGGGTCTGTCTATACACCAAACGAAGGTGAATTTTGTCATACATTCAGAATACATCGATACATACTAATAACATACATGTATATGTTTAATAGCTATAAAAATAGAATCTCGGTCTTTAATGACTCTTCTAGAAACCCTCGACCTTATTAAACAGGAACATGGAGATTAATTATGGATAAAAATCAAGCTCAAAGAATACATATTGGGATCAGAGCAAACAAGGTCATCTAAAAACTCCAAATATTGGATAAGATGTCATGGAGGAGTTGGCATCCCCCGTCCGTCGGTCACACCTGACATATGTACCTTGTCATGATCCGACAAACGGTGAAGAATCCGTTCACATGTACAATTCAGTATGTTAGTAATGGTGTAGTAATTAGTATGAAAAAAAGTCAGTCAGCATTCGACTGAATGATTGTATTTGATCATTTTGATGACAGTATCATTGTATCGACCATAGAATTTGCGAAATGCTTACTTTTAACGAGACTTTTGAAATCCTTGTTTTATCGACGTTTTTGTCAATATCTTGCTAAGAAATTAAAAATTGTTTGTAAGTTGAGCATGCTCCTGCGTTTCGAATCAAGCAGGCAATGCTGTGATAAGGTTAGTTAGCTACATTTACGACTATAGAAAAGTTGAAAGCCTCACATTTATCATAAAGTTTTGTTGTTAGGTTACTATTAAAAGGATATTTTGTCATCCATATCATCAAGATCCATCAAATCACCAACAAAAAGGAGAATTTTATTAATAAAAATTAAGAAATAAGAACAGCGTATCTAAATATTGATATAAACCAATGTTTAACCATGCAGTTATGGTCATGCCAGTAAAAGCTGGGCTTATCGCGCGAATAATATGTAAATTAGATCCTTCGATAAAAAGTGGAGATTTGATAAGGATGGGGACAGTAAAAAAAGAAGCTTTTGAAATATTCATAGAAGGAATGATTCTGTTTTATTTGGTGTTCTTGAGTAAGATAAACCAAGTTTGTAACACATGATAATTTCTGCTAAAGTGTTTTGCCGCTTCTACCAATTATCACATGTCCTATCGTTGATTATCACCTGATAAACTTGAAAGACAATAAGAATTCCTAAAAGGTGGGGTCTTTTTCATAACGATAAGGAAATGACCATGCATATATAAAGAAATATTGGTACCCAACAGGCCCGTAGGAAGCAATTTCGGGGATTTTCAGACCAGACAGAAATTCCTTAAAGGAAAAAAAGGTACCCAGTAAATCAATGGAAGAAACAAGGCGCTTCCTCTGTGCAAGCATTATGGTCAAATTTTCATTTTTTAAAAAAAAATCCTTCAACCTTACATAAAACAATAACAGTCGACCCATCTTTCTTACTTTAGACGATATCTTAATTACCAATAAAAAATATGCTATATTCAAAGTCTTTCAATATTTGCTTGATCTGTGGCTCATAGCTTTGAATTTTACTTTTGACAAACGGTGTGGCCGTGCACATGTTTACTAAAAAATAGTCAAATTTTAAAATGTAACTGTACTTATTGAAATTGCTTACTGCAAATATAAAATCTGGAATGAATTTAGAGCCCAGTAAGATGCATTTTTCTATTTATTAATGTTTCGCTTATTGGCATATTAAAAATAAAATCATTGGTTAAAATATTTTAAAATGTTTCAGCTTTTGTTTTACTGAGAAGAAATATATTCTTACTATGATAAAATCATAACATTTTCTTAAATGCTTAAAAATTATTTAAATAAAGTGTTTATTTTTTTCTGGATGAAATGGTCATTTTTCCAATTAAAATTCGGTTAAAACAGTCAGATGTACAAAAAAAAAATTTCGACTCCAAACCAGTACAGATTCGGAATCTTCAATCAGATTCCCTATTTAACTCATAAATAAAAACATTTAAGCTAACTTTTTCCTGCAGCTATCTTATTTCTAACAATGACGCATTACATGTGTCATGCTTAGTTCCGAACCACTCTGGCACCGTTTACTTGTGATTTTGATAGGGGACTGGTAAAATTCGTGTGAATTTACGTGTTCCGAAGCACCGAATCAATAAGGCACCCTCTAGTTTGCGGGAAAGCTTATATTCCGGATAATAGGGTCGACTTATGTCAAAAGAGACACTCGCTGAAGCTCATATTGGACGACTCTATGCCTGAAAGCTAGCTCTCGGCGGGGTCACTGTGGCGGCAGCTGCATTTCTCGTCTGCTAATAAGGTAACAATTTGAAATATCCCGGAGAGCGAAAAGGCGATATTGTAACAAGTTCGCTTTTAAAGGAAAAACGGTTTTGGGTCGTACAACAGAGTTCTAAAGTCCTCGTGTTTTTTTCTCTCTCCCTGCATATATTAATGATCAGTGCTCGTGCAAGTGAGTGTCCAGGTATATGTAATGAATGAATATGACGAAGTTTGAAACAAATTTATCTACTTTCTCATAATTTATTGCAATTTGCATCCAGACAGAAAATGATTAAATGAAGCAAATTCTGACAAAATATGATGATACTAAGTACACGTAGTAGTAACTAGTAAACACTCTAGACAGAAAAGGACATTTTTAAAAAAGATCTTTCATATTTTAGTATTAATAGCTGGTGTAATTCTAAAATTATTTTTGTCTTGCAAAAATATAAATTATTTTTTTTCGATTTGGGTAAAAATATATAAAAGTAAAAAAAAAAAAATGAGTAAAGATACAAGGCATTGGATATATAACAAGAAACCAGATTTCTTGTTTTTTTTAGACAATGAATGGAAAGTTTCTTTCTCTGAAAACTTATTATCTGGAATGGAACTTTTAAAAAATATTTTATGATAACTATCAGACCTACAGATAAACAAAATGGAAATAAATGATAGGTGGATAGTGAGCAAATTTTTTTTGGTATGTTTTGATGGCAAAAATCAGAGAAGTTCCGTAGAATTATCTGAATCCTTAAGTCATTCCCTGAACAATGCTCACAATTTTTATCTTGAAACAATTAAAAATCCCCAAATTGTTTTATATTCTAAATCGGCATCAAGGAAAAATAACCTTAGTTTAATTCTAAAGGGAATATCTCTAGCAAAGCCTGAATTGTGTTTTAAATGGTGGTGTCAAGCAATTACAAGACAATTGTATTTTGATGTGTCCCAGGACGGTAAAGTCACGTGTTTTTTCGAGCGTTCTCAGAAAGAAATGTCGAACTCCATGCCGGCAAAATGGAGTCGAATTTCCCAACACTTGTCGTCACGTTTTTAGACAAATGAGATTTATTTTAGCGCTCCCATTATTGAATCTCTTTTCCCTTCTCTGGGAGAGTAAACGAAAGATTTCATTTTCAGCGAGAAAGACGACGAAATACGCCAGAGGACAAACAGTTGTCGTTTGTTTCATGTTCATAAAAAATCGGGACTTAGAATCAATAAACAGTTTTTACTTGCAATAAATTGTAGAAAGAAATTTACTTTGTACAAGTTTTTATATGTTTTTAATTGATAAAGTGGGGAAATTTTAAAAAAGCAAATCTATAATCCTACATGTATATGAGAATTAATGAACAAAAATCCATGTTGTCAATTTAAATGGGGAAAATACAAAAAAAAAATGTATTGTATTGCATAGATTTTTGGCTTTTTAAATTGAATAGAACGTTTGAATGGATTAATTTATAGAGTGATACGTTGTACAAATCAAGGGGCAGATTACTCTAATTTCATAAATCAGATCTCTTTGTTGTGCAATGAAGGTTTCTTACAGGTATAAAAAAGTACATAAATAAATGAAAGAAAAATGCAAGTGTAATCAAAGATTAGAATATGCTTACTACTAGTACTACGCTGAATAAACAAAAAATAGAGTCTCGATGTTAGAGTTGGTATTTTTTATTTTTTAAAAGGCTTTTATACATTAATAATTATTTTAAAGCCAATTTACTTTGAATAACTGTTCTGTTCATATTACAAAAAACAAACAAGAAAACTCTTAAAAAGCAAAGCAGAAAAAGAGATAAATATGATCGTGATTGTTTTCTTCGAAACTTTTTGAAGGGTTTAGGAGATGTGCACACAAGAAGTATATACATATATAGAACTATTTTAAAGAGTTTAATCTTAAGTTACTGCCTTAATCTATAAAAGGGGAGCGTAATCACTATCTAATAAAAACATTCCTAATTAAAAAGGAAAGTTCTTAACCATGCTATTGCCAAATTTTGATGAGTTTCCGACTTTTTGAAAAAATAAAATAATTTTTCCGGACAAGTGCAGGAAAATATTTTATCACTTGAATCAAAGTAAGGTCAAAGGTCATATATACTCTATATATATATATATATATATATATATATATATATATATATATATATATATATATATATATATATATATATATATATATATATATATATTTACCTTTTTGATGATGCAGTTTAAATTTTGCCTTTTAAATATTTAACTTATAATTTACAAATTGACCCACTAAATGGGTTGTTTTTGTTATTTTATTGCATGCACTGATCCTTACAATTTATAACAGGAATTTTTTCAAACATATATCAATGCTTGTGAGTTTTTAAATAGTAGTCATTTAATTTAAGAATATATTTTAAAAGGAATAAATGTAAAACAAAAATGTAAGAAATATTTTTACGTAGTATCAATTCTTCATTTGTGGTCTATTTTTTCAATTGTTTTATTCTTGAAATTTTATCTATAACCAGTAATGCACAATATAAAACTAAACGTTTTAGTAAGATTAAGTCGTCATTAAAGCACTTGTATACTGGCTATTTGATCTTTAGATGAGAAAGTCAAGTCTCTAATAACATTCAAAAATGGATAAAAAAAATCTTTACGACCACGCCTTGGTTCAGATTGAAATATATTTCCAAGTTTATTGCACCACAGAACGTCATATGACACCATCAGGCCGCTGTGATGAGAGTATATCACAAACAGAGAGGACTGGCGGCCTGCCGTTGACATCCATGTCGCACGAGCACCTGTGGTCATTACGGCCATTGATTGAGCGATTACTCGTGAAAGACCATCACTCCAAAGTAATAATACGAAGAAAAATATTGTCATTCCGCTAATTAAAGGCAACGCGAAACCACCCGATCCGATAGGTGTGTGCATCATCCCAGTTACCATGGATACCCTGTCGCGCGAGATCTTGTTACAAATCTCCAAGAATTGTCTGATATCTACCTGACGAACTCGACAAAGCTTACATTTAGCTTATATGTGCTTTTGTCGCCTGAAACCGATTTTTGACTCGTGATAGTGGGATAAAAAAGTCCAATAGTCGGACGTGGTCAGTAATTGGAATCGAGGGGTATTACTTTTCGCATTGTTACTGAGAGGCTTTCACAATGCTAGCAGTAGAGTAAACCTAACAGTAGGACTTAATAAGCTGTTTGCAAAGAAGATATAACAAATTACATCACAGACAGACCACCTGCCCTCTATTATGAGGCCCTTTCGCACATCCTGGTCCAAAAAAACGTGGTAACAGTAAATTTGTGATAAATCAAAAAATCAATGGCTGGCAAGACCAAGGAATGGGGAAAAAATTACTTGTCTTTTTCGAAACATATAAAATCATTTCATAGAATAGTCTTCCAATATATATGTATGATAATTTGACTATTGAGGACGAAGTGCTTGACAGGGAAGAACCGAAATCTGCGAATTTCCGTTAATAAATCAATGTGGTCTTAGGACCCTAAAGCCAGTGTCCTATGGCCAATGCCTGAAGACAGTTAATGTATTTAGACCTTCTCGTTGTAGGCCGATTCCAACTCATGGATTTTCTTTCTGCTTTAATTTCGGCAGCCGTGCGGAGGAATTCTTTTGACAAAAAAAGGTCCACGTTTATTGCCCTGTGAGTTTAAAAATTAGACAATTACTTTGTTCTGTTTTCCTCTCCATGAAATTTAATTTTTGCTAATTAAAGATGCACAGTGCGTAAATTAAATGTATAGAATTAAATAAAGTTTAGGCGCATTTCCACAATCTCTTCACGACATCTAATCAATATTTTATTATCAACAGTAGAAAACTTGCCTATGACTTTGTATAATCGAGAGAAGATTTCTTAATTACATTTTTCTTCAATCCAGAGCCACAGTCCAACACGATGCATTTTTGCATATGTACATTTAATCGGATACTTGAGAAAAGAGTTTTAGTTACAAATTTATTTATAGAGTGTGAAAGTACTTGGTGATGGTACAATATAAGTGGGATACAGTATTCACAGGCAATTATAATAAGGAAGTGTGTAGACACGTCCTGTGCATGTATGAACGATGAACACAGGATGTCCTTGTTGAGATAGTACCAAATTTTGTTCGAGTTGTTTTGTTTATTTTTATGAAATAAAATTGATTTACAATATGACAAAAAAAATCTTACCAAAGGCTTGGTAGGAACATATATCGTCTGTTCGCATCCTTTCCCCGTGTTCTCAGAAGGTCCCAAACGAAATCCTTTCGCTTTCACCCAAAACCTGAACTTTGAATTGTCTGCAGTTGACGGTTCCTCACCGCTCAGAATTTTTACAATTCGCTCATATTTTTTACGGGTCACTGTCTTTGTTTTGCCACTGTCTCCATAATTTTGGAGGGCCCATGTCTGAAAAGTCTCAAACATCTCCTGTTTCTTAATGGAGCACCGCGAGCTGTCAACATCCCTCGCAGCAGACGACATTTTGCTACTTTGTCACCAGGCAGGACAGAGAGAGAATTATATACGGCAAGTTTCTAATTTAGAAGAATTCCCGTTGACTTTGGACGGTGAGCACGCGTCAAATTCACGGCCTGCTCTAAGCTGTCACTACCAGACATCCGACTGAACTAATTAGGACGTTAGAAAGAGTGCGGGACAGAGGTGACAAATCAACTCAGCCAATCAAAAGCCAGAGAAACAATGGTCCCGTACGGGAATGAACTTGTTGGGCATGCTCAGTACGAGGTTTACGCTCTAACATGGCGAAGGTGAAAATGAGAAGGCGGGACGCCGCTAACTAGAATTGACGTCCGATATCTGAATTTTATTTTATCATTTGTATCCAGAAATATAAGTATGGTGTACTTAAACTTTATTGTATCCTGATACTAATTTTTACATAGTACTATGGTGATTTTTTTCTATTACTATTGCATTGACATTTGTTTAAAAAAAAAAGTGTCCAGAACAGATAAAGATACGAATGTATTTTGTAATATGAGCAGGATATAACAATTCTATGTAGATACCGTCGAAAGACCAATATTGATCGCTTATTTGCTCTGGTTTCCAAGGTAAAAAAGAGAAAAAAGGTGTTGGCACGATCCGCTGGTGACGCTATCCGTAATAACACATCAGTGCACCCTTGGGTGGGAGAGAGCGATTGCTGGTGTGCAAAATTGAATTTTACGCCAAGCATCCCATGCACAATTGATGACGTAATTGCCACTCTTTGAATGATGCCGTTTTCATAACGGCAAACCCAACATTACATTCTCTGTGTGTTTTATTGGATTTCTGTTTCATTTTAATGAATTGACTCTGCTCATAAAATAGTTTTCTTCTTTAGAGCCTGTCGTTGAAATGTTTTTATTTTCCTCAAAGCTTATAACTTTAAATTGAGCAGCGATGTCCCTTGTAATGAATTGAAATGACCACTTATTGCAGCACTTCAAGCAACTTGCTTAAATCCTGGAAACATTTTTCTGTTTGTTTCTCTAGTATTTTTTTTTTCATTTTTAGTACTGTTCATGTACATGTATATATACGCAATAAAAACACCCGAACTAAATAAAAGCGATCCTACTTTCAGTTAAATCAAAATTCTGGTTAAATTTCAGTTGTGGTCCGGTTAATAGTTTTTAGGATGTAACTGACTACGTTATTTTTGGAATTCTTGTGATATAGGATGTAAATCAAGGGGCGGATCTAGGATAGGATATTTCGTAGTGTTATGTAAAGGTTTATATCGATAATTGAGGGGTCTCCACCTCCCTTGTATACATGCGTCTAAAAACAATGTAGATCATTCGTAATCTTGATACATAAGGCTAATTTTAAGATCTCAAGCAAAAGCAAATGCAACTTTCTTTAAATATTAGCATGTTTAATTTTTTCAATTCATATGTTTTGCATACAAACATATATCAGTAAATCCTGGAAGAAGTTGAAAATTTTTGTCAACAATTTGTTATAGTAATGTTGAGGTTTATAGAGCAATAAAAACAAATGCTATCTGTCAAAATATATTAAGTGCACGATTTTCTGCCCAAAGCTTTTTTCTTACCACCCTTCTTTTATATATAGATGATCAAAAGCAGTATAATCCTTGAATAATGTGTACCTAATATTTCATAATATAATATGATAAAGGGATTCAGAGCAATGAATTATGTATCTTAGTGGCGTCTAGTGGTGAACTCAGTTATATTGAAATAGAACTAACGCTGCAGAAAGAACGCTTTGTAACAATTTTACATTTACTTCTTTTCCTAGTAACCACGGCAATACCGTTTATCAAAATTAAAAACTGATTTGCTGCAAAATTATTTGTTAGATCCACTTTCAAACTTGCTAGTGTAGTATACTTGTTCACCAAGTTAAATTGACCAAAAACTGTTTGAGGAGTAGCATTTTTTGAAGAAAAAAAATCTTACAGAAAAACAGACAGACAGACGGAGTGACGGAAGAAGACCACTATATTGCATTAGATCTTCTGGTCTCTGACCAAACAGAGCTAATAGTGCAGATGGATTTCGAATTTTTTTTTGTCCTAAATGGTAAGACCAACATATGCAGGACCTTTATATTAACATTTTATATTTCTTAAACATTGGGACTTGTTAAAATGGCAGTATGGTACATGTTTTCTTTTATGATTGTCAAATCATAAAGGTACAAATTGCTGTATTACGTCTGGTTTCCAGAGGGTGATCTTAAAATGACCAAATAAATGAAATTTTCAAGTTTTTATGGAGTACTACAAAATATTACAGATATAAAGAATTTTTATAAAAAATATAACTGTTAGATTCTCGATTTTTATGTTTCAAATTTCAAGTGCTTATATTTTGATTTTCTACTTTTATAATATTTTTATGGCAGTTTACCATAACATCGCAATCACACAGCAATCTACCTATCTGTTTTAAAAATTAGTTTAAAAAATTGTAATTCAATTTTTGACCTGTGATTTCTTAATATTATTATAAATTTTATAAATTATGTGAAATAGTTGCTTTAAAACGGTAAATACGCTTCGCCTACTATGATGCGCGAAGAACTGCGCAACGGAAACCCCAGTTGCCCCCCTTAGAGTAGCGGGAATTTTGAAAATAGCTATAATTCCTTTAATGCATCTGTATAATACATAAACTTTCTTTTTGCTTAATCATATTGTTAACATTGAAATGGCAAAACTTCGGACACACGTTTTGCTATACCTCTTCAATGGTGCTTGTGAGTTGAGGACCTACATGTACGTTTTTTATCTTGATTCAAAGTGACATCAATCAACGTCACATTTCACGGGCCATTGCACCTGGACTAATAGAACTAAATAGATACCGAAATATTGTCCGAATAATGGCCTTGAACCGTTGACTGGATTACAATCGAGTAGTGTGTTGATGAGGGTCAGTGAGCCGGAATGAAACCGTTCTGGGTCATGACTTCAAAATCCTTCCCTGAAATTAATTTAAACTTGGGGAAATTGTTATTGATGAATTTAATTTGTGTCTTAAACTTCATCCAAGATCAAATTTTAAAAAGTTGAAGTAATAAACTTCATAGTTATGGCTAGCAGTGTAATTTTGGAAACAGGAGACAATAGATATATCAGTAAAGTCAACTGCTAGTTATGTTACAGTTGTGTTAATTTCATTCATATCAAGCGAGATTATAAGTCAAGTGAAATATCAAATCAAATTCTAATTGGAAAAATATATCTTTTACTTATTATATAAGCAGGGTTTTCCATTGTTCTTTGAAATAATAAATTGGCATCGATTTTAAAGTCTTGCTCGTCTCTCCTAGCTTTTGTCAACATCGCTTTTGCGATCATCTACCAAGTAATCTTGTATCTGCCAGGAACTGGGCTCACACTTTTGCATGTAGTTGCCCAGGATGTAAAATCTTCACTTTTTAAAAGACATTTTAATGATGGCCTATTAATGGAAACTGGAACATATACATTGCATTTTCATCTTGAATTTTGATGTAATCTTAACTTCGGTAATTGGATCCGCGAGCTCGGACTTGTTAAAGGTCATGTGTGGTCCTTAATCAAACTGAAATGTCAAGGTCATTTAATTGTCATTTTATTTTTCTGAGTGGATCAAAGCTTAAATTCCAGGCTTACACAATAAAAAATGATCGCTTGTGACCAGAGGACGATTTTTACACAAGTGATTATCAGATGTAATTATACAAATATCACAAATATGGTGGAGATCGTCATTTAAAATGTTATTGTGAAACAGTGGCGTAATTTTAACCAAGGTCGTATAAAAGGGCAAGGTCACATGAGAGAAAGTGGACAATAATTTGTTATGTAGAAGTTAGGGAAAATTAAAAGAAAACTAGTGCTAATTGTAACGGGGACCGTTACAGATGTTCCCCAAACGCTCCCCAACTCCCTTTTGGTGCCATATTCTCTATAAGCTTCATTAAATAAGACAACTCTACGCATTTGAGACTTTAACAACGTTTACCCAGAAGTGTACCAATTTCATTCAAATTTTAGCATTGCACGCGTGCGCATGTGAATGCATGTGCGTAATGATTATACAATCTTTTCTTTACAATCTATAGATTTTAATATACTAAATATCAAAGTATTTAATCAAAACGTATTAAAAAATACGCTAATTCAAGTGTATTTTTGATTTTACTCATTTCACGTGCACGCACGTGCTTACATGAGCATGGCGACCATACTTTCTTGTAGAAGTCCATTACATCTATCTATGTTCTAAATCCCAACCCGTTTTGTTGAAAACCAAGGGAGTTATAGCTGTTCAAAGTTTCAGCCAATCAGATTGCAGCGCACGTACATGCACGTGTATGCATGTGCATGGTGACCATGTCTTCTTGTAGAAGTCCATTATATCTATCCATGTTCCAAATCCCATCCTGTTTGGTTGAAAACCAAGGGAGTTATAGCTATTTAAAGCATAAGCAAATCAGATTGCAGCGCACGTGCATGCACGCGTTTTCAAAATAATTGCTTTATAACTTATTGTAGGATATCCTAATACATGCCTATATTTAAAATTTCAAAGGATTTCGTCAAAAAACAAGAAAGATATTGAGACTTTAGTTTCAGCCAATCAGAGCAAAGCGCACGTGCATGCACGTGAGATCTTGCTTTTTTGACCATGTCATCTTGTCTATGCTTCTAATATATACTTCTAATATAAGTTTTAAAGCATATCATCAATAATTTAATAGTTACGTCTGTATCAATTATATTGGACATTTCTCGTGTTGCACGTGCGAGCTCTTGCAAGCACACGTGCATGCACATGCTTTCATGATATTTCTTTTATTACGGGCTGTAGATCTCCCTAATGTATGACTATGTTCAAAATTTCAAATGATTTTATCAAAAAACAAGAAAAATATTGAGACTTTAGTTTCAGCCAATCAAAGCGAAGCGCACGTGCTTGCACGTGAGATCTTGCTATTTTCACCATGTCATCTTGTGCATACTACTAATATATCCTTACATTATGAGTTTCAAAACATTTCGTCTAAAAATAGAAAAGTTACGGTTATATCCATTATATATTGGTCATTTCAAGTTTTGCACGTGCGCGCTCTTGCAAGCACGTGCGCGCAAAATGACCTTGATTCCGCAAATCTACATAACATGCCTACTTACCCTAAAAAGGTTTCCCCTTAATCGGATGTGTACTTTACAAGATCATTCGCGGACAA